CCCGGCTACGCGCAGTGTGACCAGGCTGGCGGGGTTCAGCTGCAGGCAGCACCACTGTGCCCAGCTCCCTGGCCAGGGGGCCCGTGCGGAGAGTCGAATCCCGTTACATCAGGACACGCTGTCTAGAGAGGGAAGGTAACGAGCACGCGCTCTTCTCGCCCCGAGACGCTTCTCGGCCAAAGGTCTCTCCGGGGCATGGACGGCAGCCTGGCTGCGATCCCTTCTGCAAGAAGCAAACGCCCTGCCGGTTTGCGTCCTCAGGGAAGGAGTCCAGGGTGTCCTCTTTGGCCCCCAGTACACTTGTCTAACCCTGTGACGGGCTCCTTAGGACGATGGACCCCCCCCCACACACACAGACACACGCTGCTTGCGAGCTCCTGTTGTTCCTCTCTCCTTGACGCTTTCATGCCCCGTCCCGAGCATTCAGCATAGGCTGCCAAGAGGAGACCCCGGGAACCGTGCGCCCCCTCAGGGCTGACAGACGGCCTGGGGCATGGGCTTTGGGGAGCTACCGCTCACTTCCTCCAAGGCCTGGAGAGGGAAAGGCGGGGTCCCAGCAGGGAGCGTAGCGGGAGTGCCAACACAATCGTGTGGACATGGCCCCAGCCCGACCGCCGGGAGAGGGGAAATGAGTCACTGGATTTCCAGCCCACCACTTTCAAGTGGCAGTCTGGTTTTGAAGGGCTTTCGCCCAAGACTGGCCCCGCACCGGGGTTCCATTTGCCCTCTGTAGGGGCCTTACCTGGCTCACCAGCAGGGGCCCCGTCACGTTGGTTGCATACACCAGGGCCATGCCCTCCGGCGTCTCAGACTCCAGCGTGCTCGGCATCGCGGTGCCAGCGTTGTTTATCAGCAGGGTGAGCCCCGAGCCTTTCAGCTGCTCCTGCACGCTGGCTGCGGCCGCCTGGATGCTGGCCGGGTGGGTAACGTCTGGGGGGGGGGAGCACAGGGGCATAAGCACACGATCCCTCCTCGCCCATGTCGCTCCCTACCACATCCTGGCCCAGGGAGCTTTGCACGCGGGGCAGAGGTAGGAGAGGG